TACCAGTATTATATGAAATGCTGAAGGGTATTCGTTAAGAAGAGGAGGAAGAAGAAAAAGGTAAAGATAAAAATTATGAACAACAAAGTGACAACAAATACATATGTATCAACAAGTGAACCTAAAAATCAAATGAATAAAAAACCTGATGAACAGAACAGACTGGTGAATGTAACACAATCAGGGGCATGGAAAGGGAGCAGACTGACAATTCTCGGGGGAAAGGGGTTGTGGGGATGTGGGAAGAGATTGGACAAAGAGCTTACGCCTATGGACGAGGTCAGTGGAGTGGGGTGGAAACCAGGTGGAGGGGAGCTTTCGGAGGAAAAAAGAGGAACATCTGTAATAATCTGAACAATAAAGATTTTAAAAATTAATTAATTTTTAAAAAAGAAATCTTTACCCACCTCTTGGGGCAAGCATTTTTTCTCTCTTAAAAGGTTTTATTAAATTATACTTTATAGTCATAGATGTGCACTAAGGGGAATAAAACAAACTTGTCAGATAGGTGTTTGATGTTCACTGTCTGTAGCAGTTTTTAAAAGACATCATATATCAGAGGTTACATTCGTTCTGCAGAGCCCAGGCTATCCCAGAGGAAGAACCTCAGCCTGGTATTCACCTTCTGTTCCAGGATCCCATCCAGGACACACTAGTCATTTCTCCCCAGGCTCCTCTTGGCTGTGCCATTCTGTCAGACTTCCCCTTGTGAGGATTTTTTTTAAAATATATTTTATTGATTTTTTACAGAGAGGAAGGGAGAAGGATAGAGAGTTAGAAACATCGATGAGAGAGAAACATTGATCAGCTGCCTCCTGCACACTCCCCACTGGGGACGTAGCTGCAACCAAGGTACATGCCCTTGACCGGAATCGAACCTGGGACCCTTTAGTCGGCTGGCCGACGCTCTATCCACTGAGCCACACCAGTTAGGGCCACTTGTGAGGATCTTGACCATGTCACTGGTCAGGGATGTTGTTCAAGGCCCTCTACTGGGATTTGTTGGTTTTTCTCATGATTAGACTGGGGTTACTAGTTTGGGGAAGGAAGATCACAGTAAAGTGCCATTTCCCTTATGTCATATTAAGTGTATGTACTGTCGACATCATTTATTACTTGGTTTGATGTTGACCTAAGTTGTGTTTATCAGGTTTCTCCACAATAAAGTTACTCTTTCCTCTAACTCCCGCCCCAGTTATCACTGCACAGCCCACAATCAAAAAGCGGGGATTCTGCTCTATTTTTTTTTAAGCTGCCAGGGAATTGAGGGGCCTTTGGCGCTGGTGCTGCAAAGGGAAGGTCTTGTCTGTGGTGCAAGCAAGGAAGCGGGATCCTTGGTTAAGAATATCAGGAACATATTTCTTTCCTAAAAACCCTCCCTCGGCTCTGTTATTTCATAGTAAAATTCCCAGAAGAGTTGTCTTTGTGCTTTTTCACTCTTTAAATTTACAACAGTTTTTCCATCACAAAA